TGAAAGATTTCAAGCCTCTTGCAACATTTTTATCCGGTTTTCAGCAGTTTCTTTTGCTTCCTATATATGTTTTATGTCATTTTCTCTTCTCCGATCTTCTTTGAACAACCTTCACTAGTTATGACGTCAGATGTTCAAACAACCTTCACTTTTGACGCCTTGTCTCTAGACTATCGAAGGTATGCGTGAAAGCAAGAGAGTTATTAACGATCGAACAGTGTGCACATCTTTTTGGGACACTGTAGTATGAAGGAGAAAATTATAAATTATTACGGATTTCTGAAAGTCAGCATAGAGGGTTATCCGACATGCTGATCGCGAATAACGTGCTAAATTTGCATGGTAAGGGCTTTTTTGCAAGACTACTGTAGGTTTACGGTAAGGCCTACCTACCCTAGACGATAAAAAGACGTTAATTCAACAGATGAATATGATGTTCGTGTTTAGTAAATCGAATAAACTCACCATGCGAAATTTCAGAGGATAATAACGTTCCAACTCCTGAGTCATTGATGGTGTTCCACCAGCCTTGCGTACTTCAACTCAGCGAGCGCGCCAGATTTCTTTTTACTGACAAGGAATGCTTGTTTAGTCGAAGTGGCCTTTCTTGATGTGATGTACACCGTATTGTAGAGCATAAAATGCTGATTCCAAATCTGCCCTCCGTATCTGCAGAACATTTACGGACGAGAAGTTATGAGCGTTTTTTGGAGTCAAAAATTGAGTGTGCAAGTGTGACAAAAATAACCGTAATACATTTTCTAGCTCTTCAACGGAGCAGTGATAATCACCAAACACTTCACTTGAAAATTACTTTAAAATAAAAATTATACCACACTTGGTTACGTTATTTGAAGGCTAGTAAGATTCTAACAACTCATTTTATTCAAAATGCACATTCAATTTTTGGCTCCAAAAAACGCTCATAACTTCTCGTCCATAAACGTTCTGCAGATAAGGAAGACAGTTTTGGAATCAGCGTTTTATGCGCTTTAATATGGTATACATCTCATTTAAAAAGGCCACTTCGACTGAACAAGCTTCCCTTGTGAGCCAAATGAGTTAACCTCACGCAATAATTCACATGCAATTTTAGATCAGTGTGCATGATTTGGGTTGCGAACGGTCATTTTTGCCTATAACCTCATAAATAATCGAAGCTCACTGGTTTTTGAAAAACGCTTGTAATTTTTTATTTCTTTCTCAAAAATCAAACAGTTTGTGATTTTTTGTAGCACACGTTCAGGAGTAAATATAGCCAAAATTTGAGCGCGCCATGTTCGATGAGTGTAAAGTTATGAAAGCAGTTGCAAAACTTAGTTTCCGTCCCAATAAATATCAAAACACTTTCGTAGCTAGAGTTAAGATCTATCTGACTATCAAATGCAACACAAGAAGATCTATCAAGCGATGTGAACAGATTTAATCAGCGTGTTAAACAACCACTCACGGAGGAATATCGACGAAGTAACCTCGATCATTTTGTAACTCAATGTGTGAGATTGCACACTAAGCCCTATTAGCGACGGCATCCATGCTATTAGGTTGTCAAGAAAATAATGTCGTTTTTATTGGATTGTAAAACAAAGCAACCATACTCAATCCAACAAAGGATAATGGGTATTGTTCGATAGAGGAAAGCAAGCTCTACAAGATGGCGTTCATAATCTTGCGCCAAGCTCGAACCACGGAATGTTCGAACTTAAAATTTGAAGATATCCAAATGCCCAAAAAATCGAAAAAATCAGATCTTCGTCCAAATAATTTCTACGGAACTCCCACTCGCGCACTTCAATACTTTCGATATCAGACACCCATATGTGCAGCTGCTGTACTTTTTCTTTGACTAGAAATTGAGAAAACAAAAATTTTCGTGTTTTTCTAAAAGCAATGCTGAGCCGTTCTTGCATATGTGATTCTATACTACAAACCTAGATAAGTATAACTATAGATTTTCAGCCTATTCCAAGCGGTAATGTCGCTTTTAGCACTGAAACTGAAGAGAAGAAAGCTGATTTCGATATTTCTCGAAAACTGCTGCTCGGATGGGCTGAAAATCTACAGATATGCTTACCTAAGCTTGTAGTATAGAATCAATTATGCAAGAACTGCTCATCATTGCTTTTAGAAAAACAAGAAAATTTTCGTTTTCCAGTTTCTAGTCAAGAAAAAAGGACAGCAGCTGCACTATGGATATTAGATATCGAAAGTATTGAGGTGTGCGAGTGGGAGGTCCGCAGAAAATATTTGGACGAAGATCTGATTTTTTTTCAATTTTTTAGGCAACTGGAAATCTTCAGATTTTGACTTCAAACTTTCCGTGAATCGAACTTGGCGCAATATTGTGAATGTCAACTTGTAGAGCTTGCTTTGCTCTATCGAACAATACCCATTACCCTTTACTGGGTTGAGTCTCTTTGCTTTGTTAAAGCAAGCAAATAAAAAACGACATTATTTTCTTGACAACCTAATAGTAACTTCCAGTAAAACATTTTCTAGCCTAACAAAATGTAAAAATGCGTTCTACTGACTAACATATAAACAACTAAAACAAGAGAAACAAGGAAAGAGGGAGAATTCTCTAGAATTGAGGAGATTCTGGTTTCGCAGTACGTCAGTTAGCGTGTTTAGTGAGCATTGCGCATAATAAGATTGAAATGACTCGACGAATTTTACATTCAAGGCAAAATTCATGAGGACGTGTTACAGTAGCTCTTAGCTTGGCGATTTTTATAGACTGGATCTAAGGCCGGTATGCACGTACGTCCCCGCTGGGGAGGGGAGGGAGTTGGATCCCCAGGGGAACGAACCCTCCGCCGAACCCCGCCATGACAGAGGGGAGGGGAGCGATCCCCCCCCCCCCCTGCCCTAAGCGGGGATGGTGTGAATGGTTACAGAGGTATTGATCGAGCGAACCCCCGGTGCATACGGGGTTCGAATGGGAGAGGGGATCCCTTCCCCTCCCCCACTCGAACCCCGTATGCGCGAATTTAACTCAACATGCGGGGGAGGAAATCGACATCCCCTAAAACGGAGTATGGATTCGATGGTGCAGGTCAAGCCGGAGAAGCGAGTATTCTGATTTCGATCAATTATTACAAAGCATTTTGTTCAAATTGATGAAAGATTTTCTACGGGAGCCGGGTTCCTCTCTCAGCGACCTGTAGCTTGCAGTTTTAACTCTCTCTTCCGTATTCGCTTCTTGTAAAGAAATCCGGACATATATCGCAGTTTTGAATATCTTTAGAAGTTTGTGACCATTCACGAGAGTTGCGCATTTTTTATTTGACATGATAGTTTTATCCATTAAAGCTGGTACAACATATTGTAACTATCACTTGTTATCCTAACGTAAAACTGCTTTGAATAAAATGAAAATTAGCAGACTCGCGTGTTTCTGAGTAGAGATCCTCGGGGGAGTGATCCCCTCCCCATCGTACCCCTCGTGCATAGCAGGGATGGCCGCTGGGGATCATTCCCCTGGGGTGAAGGACGATATTCATCTGATAGCCACAGCGTTTATGGAGAGCTGACACGATTTGCAGCTTCAGTTATGTGTAGAAATGCTGGTTTGAATGTCCGCACCACCCCCCCCCCCCCTCCCTTTTTCGGCAGCATTACGTCTTCTACTCATTCACTGCAGATACACCTTGACTTCTATTATTGAACATCTTTACGCTGAAATGGGCAGCATGAGCGAGAATGAGCAGCATTCATGAAAACAGCTGGAATATAATGGATGTAGGAAATATTTCTTTAGTGTGCCGATCGCAATCACGGCAGACGGCATTCCGCAACGACTAAATATCGCCGAGACACATTGAAGGCGAGTAGCTATCAAAAGATAAGAAAAAAGGAGTAATTACTGCAAAAAAGCGGAAGCAAAATGAATTCTCCGCTCGATCTCCCCTTCTGCATAAGGGGGCTCCTCTCCCCTACTCTCAGGGGATCCCCTCTTCGGTACTGCCTTTCTGCATACGAGGGTTCGCGTGGGGAAGGGAGGGGAGCCCCAGCGGGGATCCAATGGTTAAGCGCACATCCCCTCCCCGCCGGGATGTACGTGCATACGGGCCTAAGACATGCAACATTCGATGACACAGTTCCTATTAACTTTATCCTTCAAATCAAGCAGATAACAGATACGCGAGAAGTGCAGGCAAAGTTACGTACTTTTGTGACTCAGTCAAGTTACAGTTGCCTCATCATATCTCTGCAAAAGGGCCATGTGTTCCTCAAAGGCCACGATTTTCGTAAGCAGCGTATCCGAGCAAACCTTTCTAAGCGAAAATTCCTTACAATCCAAAATCGTCAACATTTTGACCAGAATTCATCGGCAAGCTTCAGAGCGTAAAACGAGAAAAAAATGAATTAACCCGAACATATCGAAAAACTTGTCCTTAGAAGCTATCCGACCTGCTGGTTACGAAAATCATAACGGCTTAGCAAAAGAGCTTCATACTTTAGGGTTATGGTGAGTAAAATTTAGAACGACAATTTTCCAGATTCCATCAGCCTTTTTATTTCCTTTAGAAACAAGTCTGCGGCTATTTTTTTAGCGCTCCATAATCTACAAAGGAAGTATCAAAGAAAAGTCCTTGCTGGAATCTACCGGGGGCAATGCGCGCTGCTTTACACTTTTGCGAAGGACAAAAATGATACAAAAAGATTATAGAGAAACCGGAATATCATGACATACAGTACACAAAAGAATTCGCCTTGATGAGCTGAGCACAATGCTTTTTCAAATGATATATTCATTCCGATGAAAGTTATGGCGCTGCGTAGTCTATGTCATTCGCGTTGATTCCGCGAAATTCCGGAAGGTTGCGGAATTCCCGGAATTCCGCAACATTCACGAAAATCTTGTACATTCTGTGAGCGGTATTGCTCTGTTTGATTCTTTTGCAAATTCTTTACTCGAGTGAAAAAAAATTTTACATTACTGAGGCTTTCAAAAACATTCAAATCTGACGATAACTTTTGTACATTAAAAAACTCACCACCATTTTCCACGATTGTAATAGACAGAGAAGATTGGCAAACACAGCTGCGACAAGAACGTGCATGATTTGCTTGTTTCAAAATCCGTTGACGTTGTCTGGCAAAAAAAATGGTTTTAGTTGCATCATACTTTGAAATTTACGACCAATATATGGGCAATGTGATTGTTCCACTATGATAGGTGCATCAACTGGGGTGCTTAAACGGCGACTAATGGTTCTTTCTGCATGGGGTGGAATTGTGAAGTAATTACTCAATGCGCACAAAAATGATTACCAAGGATCTTTCTGTAGAGTCGCATTTACTGCAAACAAAAACAAGAATTTGTATGCGAACCAATTCTATAAGTCTATTCTATCCCAAGTTCAAACACAGATTTTTTCTCGAATTTTATATATGTCGCACATGTGTCTGATTGCTGGTTCGATTTGGTCTTATCTTACAAGGGAAGGACCCTCGGTCGGAGTGGGGTTCCCACACGTGGTGCATAACGTTATGCTGATCTTGGGCACCAATAACAAGTCCGCATTTTTTAGCTGCTCAATGACCTTCTGGGAAAAATTACGAGCGATGGTTTACCCAGGATGACCACGGATCGGTTGAGTCGGTACCGAGAAATGTTAGTTGTGAGGGATGGCCAAGTGGATAATTATGGAGACTATGGAGGAAGTGGTAAAAAGCTCGGAATACTTATGTTTCAAACATCATTTTGTAGATTGTACTGTTTGATATGTATGATCAGAGAGCCCTAAGGTAGAAAAACACCCGGTACTCGTTGAATAACTTGCAAAAATGCAAGAATGTTTGGAACATAAGTATTCCAAACATTTTACCACTTCCTCTGCAGTCTCCGCAGCTATCCACTCGGCCAACCCTCCACAACTGACATTTCTTGGCGCCTCTAACTCTAGCGACCCGTGGTCATCCTGGAGAAACCATCACTCGTAACTTTTCCCAGAAGATCACTGAGCAGCAACACGGAGTATTAGTGCCCCAAGACGAGCACAGTATGCATCACGTGTGGGAAGCCCACTTCGATCGAGGATCCTTCCCTTGTTAGATTGAGCAAAACGACAAATTCTTCTCTAAGGCACGTCATCTATCATACCGTTTTTTATTATTTATTTTTTACTATTTATTTTTCTTTATTTTATTTCTTTCATTTATTCGTTTTCCACAAAGCTATCATAAACACTTAGTTTCATTCAATCAACGTAGTTAGGATTCAGAGCTGAGCTAAAGTGAATTTTTATTTCCTTTGCGAGTGATTATTTGTATTTTTCACTAGTATTATTCCCAGAATGAGGCATGAACGTACCTTTGTTTGAATTTTGATAATTCTGGCTGAATTCTCTCAAATTCATTTTTAAAGTACAGTCAAAACCAATCCCCCGTTATGCTGCACATTTCTTGAATAATGGTGGCAAATTCCGTGAGGAGGCAAAATAGATTTTTGAAGCCATATCTGCATCTTACGCGGAATGTGTTTGAAAACGAGTATAAAACTATAGTCGAAAGTCTTGAGTCATACCAATCTATTGATCCAGGCAGCATAAAAATAAAAACTTTTCTCGCCAAGCTTATCTAGCACGAGTTGGACATCGAAACAGACACGCACTGGTAGTCATACCATCAAAAGTATTTTATGCAGCTGCTACTTCGAGTTTTGAAGCTCCTTCAAGAAGCGTAAAGCCTAGTCAACCGATATGCCTTAGGTACTTGCACATCAGCGATTCCTCGTTTGTGAAATTGGCTATTGAAAATGGTAATGGCGATGCCCAGTTGTCGACATTGGCGATATATCAGGTTGTAACATAAGTCTTGAAAGACTAGGTGGAAATTTTTCAACCGTTTTTTTCTCTGTTTATTTCTAACCTTAATCAACAATGTATGAGCCATTATTATCAGTAACTTTTCTCCAACGAATAAGAAGCTGGCCGTCTTCTGGTCGAAGAACTTCTGAAGGCCACTTTTGAGGTCCCCGTCGTTCACGAACGTCTTTCCATCGAGGAAGTGTTGAAGAGATCTAAATAAATGCTAGTCTGTCGCAGCCATGTTTGGCGAATACGGCGGGTGAGAAAGAATTGTCCAGCCAAGCTCTTGGATCTTCTGGCGGGTGACAACGTGGGGTCGCGCATTGTCGTGGAGAAAGAAAACTCGATCCATTTTTCCACGATTTTCCGCCACGGTTTCAAGCTGCCTGCAGTAAACATCTGCTGTGACTGTAATGTTCGGCGGCAGAAGCTCCCAGTAAATCATCCTTGTTCCAGGCCACCAAACACAGAGGATAACCTTTTTGGGGTGCAATCCACTTTGCGGCGTCGGAATTCCGGGACTTCCCGGTTTGAGCCACTGGCGACTACGGTGATGATTGACATAAACCACCCATTTCTCATCGCCGATTATCACATTCCTGAGCCAGGCCGTCCTTTTCAAAGAGAGGAGGGAAGCTGCTATGTCGGCCCTCATGCGGAGCTGCGCTGCTGAGAGTTCATACGGTATCCAAATGGACATTTTCCAGACCAAGCCGAGATCGCGCAGATGCCGTACTACCGTCATATGAGAGAGCCCGAACTTCTCTGCCAGACCCCTGCTCTCTGTCAGACACCTGCTCGTTTGCCGGGGTCCGATTCAATCTCAGCTTTTAAGCAGGTCGGAGTGAATGAGAGTGGGCGCCCTGAACGAGGTTCATCCTCCATCGTGATGTTTTCTTTACTGAACCATTTGTACCACCTGGATGCCGTGACACGAGAAACACTGCCCGAATCCATCGTATGGTTGATGCGATGCGCAGCTGTACGTGCTGAGGATCTCAGGCGATACTCGTGAAGAAGGAGCACGTGGAGATGCTTCCTAAAGATTGCCGTAAAAGTCGTATTTTGTGAAGCCATTAAGTTGAGATGATGTGGATAAAATGACATTTGCACCTTCTTTATATATGCCAAAAATGGGATAGCTAACATGTCTTCACAGATTTTCAGCAAGAAAAGAAAAAGTGTTTTAAGACTTATGTTACAACCTGATAGATTGCCATAGCTAACGTTGGTAGTTGCACATCACAGAGCTATTGATTGCTATCAGATTGTCATTACTCGTTGACTGACATTCACTTCATCGCTAATGAATTAGCGAGCAATCAACGTGATGTCGCAGAAGCTGGTAATTGCAACATGTCGATGAAGACAGGCGATGCTAACTTTGCACCACTGTGGCGTGAACATCGATCAGCAAGTAAAATCATAAGCAATCGATAGTTATCTGAGGTGTAGTGGCCAACATTAGCTAATCGCGTTCAGTGATGTCGAAGACAGAGCTCGCTAATGTTCGCCACGGGGTAGGGGAAACTTGGGTGAGTAGGGTTGTGCCCGTCAGACTGTGCACCAGCTGGCTCAAAGAATTATATAGCCTGTCCAAAATTGACTACCGGATAATGGCCAAATTTGCAAAGCCCTTTCTGCACCATCAGCAAGTGAGCAGATTTGTGGATTTGTCAGCTTCTGAAGGCAAAACTCAGAAAGTTTCAAGCAAGGAGTCAGAGAGCACTGAAAGACATTGAAGGCGAGGATACACATGCTTAGCAGTGCCGCATATATCCTCAATACAATTTTACAGCGTTTTCATTGAATTTTTAGGATGATAAATATGAATAGCATTTTTAAAAACGGCGTTGCAAGCTGTAGAAATATGTCTCTCATCAAAAGACTGGGCTGAGCTAGGTGCATCACCTTCAAAGATGGCCCGTATTCACTCAGCGTGCAAGCTCCAACACAAAAAAGTTTCCAGTGGCCCATGTCCCTCGTTCAAGACATCCAAGATTTTCTTGATTGTCGAAGGTGCTTGTGCCCACAAGTTCCAGTGCGGAAGTCGTATCCAGCTTTTTTTCGACTGGTCCATTCGTCTTACGAACACGGCTGCCCATCTCGTTGGTGGTCTTCCTCGGCGACGTTTTGCTTCGCGAAAAATCTATCACGATGTTCTTAATCGACTAACGTCTGTTGCCAAGCGCTGAAGCTCTTTAAGTTGTCCGTAAGCTCTCGACATGGCTACAATGTGGCTCAAACCGCAGGAGCATAACAGAAAGTTCCGAGTCTTTTAGTCGATCGGTGGCTTCCTTCACAGGCTTTTCATAATGTGACCGGCCCATCGATGTTTCGCTTTCGCAACGTCTTCCGCTTGATCACGACAGAACATTCTTCTCATATTCGTACTGCGAATTCTAAGTGGTCCGTAAGCTCTCGACGTGGCTACAATGTGGCTCAAATCGCAGCTGCATAACAGGAAGCTCCGAGTCTGTTAGTTGATCAGTGGCTTTTTTCAGAGGTTCGATAGGGACGTAGGCTGCTCTTCTTCTCCTCTTGAGTTCTCCTTCTCCTTTCAAATCATTTTCCATGTTGAACGAACGCCCAAGATAACAGAGAAGTGTCTCCATGATAGGAGTGCTTTTCAAGAAATTCCATTTCCGCATCTTCGCAAAGTGTTCTTCATGAACTGTGTTCTTCTTCCAACTTAATCGCAATCTGATCTCCTTCCCTAATTCGTTTGTTCCTTCAGCAACGTCTCTGCTTCAGTGATACTGCTCGAAAGAAAACGTTATCGTTAAAGAAACAAAGATTCATTGGGAATCTTCCATCAACTCGTAAACCTCTTTCCAGTCCAGTGACTTCATCACCCACTACAGGCAGCAGTGAGCATCTTCGGCCAATTGGGATAGTCAGGAAGAAATGGAATAGCTGCATCGTTGCTGACAGTCCTTGCAGCTGTCGGCTAATGCCCTCACATAAGCTAGGTGTTAAGAAGACAGGCAGTCAGTACCCTAGCAGACTTCTATGACCCTCAAACTAAGACCCTCAAACTAACTATGCAACTGAATTCTTCTCAAAATTCCGCTTGTTCTTGTGGTTGAGCTTCATCCAGTGTGCTGGATATTCGAGTGAGAATAACTTCGTGAAAACCTTGTACTGCACACCCAGCAGGGATGTTGGACAGTAGTTCCGAAGATCCTCCCGTTCGCCTTTTTTGAAGAGAATGATGGTTTTTGACGTTCTACACTTTGACATTCTCCACGGATATCTTTTCCTTCTGAAGATAAGATGTCAG